AGAAAGCAAAAGATAAAATGACAAATATAAAGACTAGCAATTTCACAACAACGTTATTTAAATTGCACATTTTGAATATCATTATTTATCACTCAGTGATACTAGGAGATCCATTTATTTGTACTGTGATTCACTGCAGCATGCCGAGGACAGACAAGTGGGCACGTAAGCAGGGCGCTGTGTTAAACTGACTGGCTACGGGAAGATCAGAGTCATGCAGTGCTCCCATGAATCACAGCACAAACTGGAGGAACAACATCTCATCTTCAGACTAGGCACTTTACAGCCTATTGGACTTAATATTGAACTCAACACCTCCAAATTGTGAACCAACACCCAGTTTTTCCCTTTCTTTTAGCTTTACTTGTTACATTCTCTGTCACCATATGCTCTCTCCCCTCCCCCCACATCAGTGGGCCTGTCCTTTCAAGTCTGGCAGTTAGACACACCATCATTCTGCCATTCTCACATTCCAATCACTTAATCTGAACTATCAACATCTTTTCTTCCCAGCACTCTACACCCCATCAGTAATAGTCAGCATGGATTTGTGAGGAGTAGATCATGCCTCACAAACCTTACTGAATTCTTTGAAGAGGTGACCAAAACACGTGGATGAAGGTAGAGCAGTGGATGTGGTATACATGGATTTAAGTAAGGCGTTTGATAAGGTTCCCCATGTTAGGCTCATGCAGGAGGTAAGGAAGCATGGGATAGGGGGAAATGTGGCAGATTGGATTCAGAATTGGCTGAACCTTAGAAGACAAAGGGTGCTAGTGGACGGAAAATATTCAACATGGTGCTCAGTTACGAGTGGTGTACCACAAGGATCTGTTCTGGGTCCTCTTCTATTTGTGATTTTTGTAAATGATTTGGATGTAGGAGTGGAAGGGCGGATTAGTAAGTTCGCGGACGATATGAAGGTGGGTCGAGTTGTGGATAGTGCGGAGGGACATTGATAGGATGCAGAGCTGGGCTGAGAAGTGACAGATGGCACACTAAAAAGTGTGAGGTGATTCATTTTGGAAGGACAAATTTGAAAGCAGAATACAGGGTTAACGGAAAGATTCTTGGCAGTGTGGAGGAGCAGAGGAATCTCGGGGTTCATGTGCACAGTTCCCTGAAAGCTGCCATCCAGGTGGATAGAGTTGTTAAGAAGGCGTATGGTGTGTTAGCTTTCATTAATAGAGGGATTGAGTTCAAGAGCCGTGAAATTATGCTCCAGCTATACAAAAGCCTGGTTCGGCCACATCTGGAGTATTGTGTCCAGTTCTGGTCACCTCAATACAGGAAAGATGTGGAAGCATTGGAAAAGATGCAGAGGAGATTTACCAGGATGTTGC